GAATTTCTAAACCCCCCCCTTTTGGGAAAAAAAAAAAAAAAAAAAAAAAAAATCTCATAAAGCAGTAGGTCTAAACATGCGGGTTTTAATCTTTTTTTTTTTTTTTTTTGACAATGGCTTTGTAACAACATTTAAGCATCTGCATATTAGATAGAAAAGGAGGGCAAAAAAAGCTATGAGAGCAATCAAAAATATTTTGAGAATCTCTTGAAATCCAGATTGTCTCCAAGAATTTAATTGGCTTGTTTTACTTAGAGGAACAGGTCTCAAAGATCAGTTTGGTCAACTTTAGCTAAATTAGTATCATTTTTCCTAATTGTTAATTTCAACTCTTATTCAGGCCATAGTCATAAATAAATTATGTAACATACATTCTTGTTTAGAAACTTTTAGTCAAGATAGAGAGGTTCTTTTTTTTTCTTTTTTCTTTTTAAAGATGACCGATAAGGGGATCTTTACCCTTGACTTGGTGTTGTCAGCACCACGCTCACCCAGTGAGCCGACCGGCCATCCCTATATGGGATCCGAACCCGGGGCCTTGGTGTCATCAGCACCGTACTCTCCCGAGTGAGCCACGGGCCGGCCCAAGAGAGGTTCTTTTTAAAGACATGTAAAAAGCTAGCATGCCAAGCTCTTAATAAAATATAACTGAGGTTTTTGTTTGTTTGTCTGTCTTTAATACGTCAGAAGTCCATATTAGAAATTTAATCACTGGAAAGACTGATAATGGAGAAAAGGACACAACAGGATAAAACAGCCAGAAAAAAGGAAGAAGCTGTCTATTCTGGATCTCATCCTGATCTGTAGACTATCAGGAGGAAAATTCCTATTTATAGATATCTGGAGGTCTTCTAATGAGCCTCAGAATTGGATTTCCAGTGGGAGTGGATATCCAAGTGGAATTCTAAATGTGTTTAAATCGGGAAGCACATGTCCATCTGTTCTTAAGTTTAACTTTTTGTAACATTTGTTGTTTAAAGTACTGAAAATGGAGCTTTCCAGCATTGTTATAAAGTTAATATTTGGTGGAGTTCTCTTTTAAAATAGTTTTTAGTTTTATATTATGTAGAAGTGGGGTTAATAATATCTTTTTTCGGAAACATTGCTTGCATTTGTTGGATAAATAAAAGTGTAGCTAACATTAGTTACTGATAATATCTGACAAGATCAGAGTTTCCTAAGGTAAAATATATCAAAACAGAAAAAAGGGCAAATCACATGGGACTTTTAGTGAAATTCCAAATGGTGAGAAATTATAGGACTCTTTGGGTGTAGACCATATTATCATTATTATTAGGGTTAGGAGTAAAATTTTGACACAGTAAATTTAAGCTGTTTTGGGCAAATTTTACTTTATCTTATGTAATCTTCTCAGTAGTTAGGAAATGATATGCATTGATGTGATCTGTCTAGTAAGAATACTTAATAAACTTTTAAAAGTATTTTACCTATGATCTCATTTTTTTTTTTTTCTTTTTTGTGACCAGTAAGGGGATCGCAACCCTTAGCTTGGTGTCGCCTGCACCACGCTCAGCCAGGGAACGCACCGGCCATCCCTATATAGGATCCGAACCCGCTGCAGGAGCACCTCTGTGCTCCCAGCGCCGCACTCTCCCGAGTGCGCCACGGGGCCGGCCCTATGATCTCATTTTTTATATTTAAAAATATTGAAGGTATTCTTAGGTGAAAAAACAAAATGCATATATTTTAAAGCAATTGAAATTGATTCATTAATATTGTGGTTCTTGAGATGTGGGTTGAAGCACTGTCCCACATTTATAGTTTTTCAATTTGTAATAATTATGTATAACAGAATATTCAGTTACTTATCAAGTCTTTGAGCTAATCAACTTTTTCTTGGCAGCTGGTGGGTAAAGGGATCTGAATCGTTGACCTTGGTGTTATCAGCACCACCCAAGTGAGCTAACTGGCCAGCCCTAATCATCATTTTTTTAAATTGTAATTACTTTGTCCTTGTCATTGGAGTTCTTTTATGTTAGAAGATTATAAAGTTGAGATGGTTTGATGACAACAACCAGTATGAGAGATTTGATATAGTTCATTTTTATTGCAGGGGGTGGTTATACTTGATTTTATTTTTTGTAACTTAGAAATTGGACCAGACAATTGTCACTACAGTGATGGTTATGAAAGGATTAGGGCTTATTTATTTATTTTTTTGCATAACAGTCATGGGGCATTTTCTTTTGTGTTGCCTTTAATTTTAGCTATTGAAATTTCGTTTAGTTGTTCCTTTGTCTCCATGAATCATTATCTCCCGTTCCCCCACTGCCTCAATATTATTGAGCTGTCTAAAAGTTAGAAAACCCCTTCGTTTTCATACAAGTTAAAGTGTTGAACAACCACCGGGCATATCTGCTGTAAGTTTATCTGTCAACTCTTAAGCCTTGAGCAAAGTGACATTCTCCTACCTGAGGTATTAAGTGGACTGATTATTGCTTACAACACATTTTCAAATAATTTTATGTCAAGATTTTAATAAAGATTGAACATCAGACAAACCAGAATGAAATAAATTTAGTGTGAGAACAGCTGTTGGAACGTCATGAGATTTACCTTTATCAGAAGAAGTAGGTCTAAAAGCTGGATTTAGATTGAAACAACATTTAAGAGTTATATGAGAAGCAGACTGAACAATAATTTTACAGGCAATATGTGAAAGATACCAAATACACATAATTATTTTAGCGCTCCTCCTTTCTTTAAGTTGTGGGAATTAATTGTTGGTTACCCAATGCCTATCAAGAAAACCCAGAGCTAGTTTTTGGTATAAAAGGCATCTTAACAGTTTTATTATTTTGAATTTACAGTTTAAATTTAATACAGGTAAAAAATAAAGTTGTCAGAAAAAACTGATTACTATATTATATGAACATAAATCATGGGTATTTAAAAACAAGGTTGCAGTCTTATTTTAGAGTGACAATATATATTAAAATGATTTACATTAACAAGCAGTTAACAACTTCCTTAATAAATAAACAGACTAAACATAGCCACTATCTTGTATTCTTATTTCTGTCCCTCTGTAGCTATATTACCTGGTTGAGTCAGAGTTGTTTGTGTTAATGACAGCCCTTAAACAAAGCAGACAATTGTTTTCCCTCTTAGGCACAAAGAAAATGGGAGTCGATTATTCAAAACCTGCCTGGTCCCTTCAGCCTGCACACGTATATCACATACCCCCTTTTTACAAATCTAAAGTGGCCAAAGCAAAAATGTCTACAGACACTCTCTAACCTGTTAATCATTCATCACTAAACTATAAAAAAAGGAGACTTGCATAAAGTGGTATTAGTGATTTGTATTTGTAGCCTCCAATTTAGAAATTGTCCAGCTATTTAAAGATTAGGCATTAATTTACTAAATTTGATATTCATCGAAGTTAGTTATCACAGATTGTGAATTCAGTAAACTGACACATTTCTTATAATTGTAACATCACAAAAATTAATTCCATTAAAATAACTATTAGATTAAGTTTAACTTAATACATAATTTATAATTTTAAAATTATAAAGTATGTTAATTCATCTAATCGGTAAGCCTAGAGGAAAATACTTAGTAAATGAAAATTAATTAGTTTTTTGGTTTGTTTCTTTAGAAAATTAACCCTAGACTTACTAGAATATTATGCTTACATTATTTTTACATTATGGTAATAGAAAAAAGACATAATTTTAAAAGAGAAATTATTAGGCCACTGAATTTGTCCAAAAAGTAAACTTCATTAGAAATATTTTGTGATTTTTTTTCCCCTGCAAATGTTGTCAGAATCAAAATGGAGTCACCAGTGTTAAAAACTTTGAAAAATGGAGTTACAGTGGGGGCCAAGTTTCTAATACATAGAATTTGGAGGACACAATTTAAGCTTCAGTGAGTTTGGAGGGCGGACAGAAAAAAGAAAGGAAAAAAAACCCGAAAAATGGAGTTAGGGAAGGCCATGAAGATAAGGTTCTCATTCATGAATGTGTGATAACAGAAACTACCCCAAAAGACTGCAAAAACCACAACCTTGCACAAAGGCCATTTCAGCCTTACTCAAAAAAACACTTCTGCAAGGACATCTGCCCAGAAACTGCCTGTCCAACCTCAAACTGGTGCCATCCTTGTTACTGATTCTTATAGCCAAGGATAATTATCCTCAAACAATTATGTAATCCTCCGCATCTTTCCTTTGAAAACCCTCGTCTTCCTTTACCTCCCTGAACTTGTACATGTGGCTTTTTTTTTTTTCTGATAACCTGTTAACTAAAACCACTAATTAAACTCACAGTTAAACTTTCTTTTTTTTCTCTGCATTACAACTTAAAGAGGTAGCACATTTAAAGCATAAAGAAAATTTTGATTTTTTAGAAACTGGATTTTTTATTTCAAATGTATGTGTTTTTATGAAAAGTTTATATAAGCTAACTAAAATTTGTTTATATTATCATTTATTAATTTCCTGCTGAGGTAGACAATTTGCTCAAAATTATTTACATTCACAAACCGAAAATATTCTAAATTATTGTGCCAATTAGAGGAGCTAACTGTGCTAATGGAACAGAATTTAAGGTAGGTAAAAATAAAGCTAAGGTATCTACTGAGAATGTTGTTCAGTTAAAAAAGCAAAGGCATGTAACTAAGAGCAAAGGTCTAAGAGAGAGAACCACTGCTAAGAATATAGATAATTCTTTGATCCCCTTCTAAATCTAGTAGGAAATTCTAGTTTCCAATGCCATATTTCTTATAATGAACCCAGTAAGCTTTCAGAAAATAAATCTTTGTTTTATATAGGTATTGAAAGCATGCTCTATTTTTGGACTCAATAGTACAATTTATAATGATGTTTCTTCTCTCTTTTCTCTAACCTTACTCAAAAAGCCTGAGGGACAATAATTTGGAATTACTGAATCAAACTTAAGAGGCTTCGGCATAGTAATTAAACAGGAGATTCGGTTTCCTTGGTTTTCTTCTTGTCCCAAGCCTCCTGTTAGGCCTAACGTCTTTTAATATTCAAAAGTTACCATAGGCAGACATTTTAAATTCATGTCATCTTTGACACAGGAATGCCATTTTTGCAGATATTGACAACTGTTTAGACTCGTGAGTAAACACACACAAAGAGACAGTTTTGTAGGGAAGAAAGAGGCATACAAACACAACATTAAATGCGGTGGATCCCATCAAAGGCCAGAAAGAAAAATAACCCTGTGTTCTCAATTGCAAAGAATATCATAATCCTTAAACAAACATAAACAACCCCAAAAGACTACTAAATGAACCAGATTTCCTGTCCTCACCACCAACTAATCACTTAATAGTGTGACCATAAAATTATAACTCAAATTTCTCTACAACTTCTACCCATAGGCACCCAATCAGCCAAGTGCAATCAGAACGAAAACCCAGAACAAGAAACAGACTTGGGCAAGAATAAAAGTTTAGCATGCAAGAACCAAGAGAAGGTGAACAGAAAATTCCAAGGACCCAGAGCTGGACAAGGTGTTTTCAGGTCACACATTTTGTTGCCTCCTAAGCACTCAGGTAAATAATGTGTTGGTGGAACCTCCAGAAATAAATGGTCAAGAAGTTAATGATTAGCCTACTGTTTATTTGGATGGAAGAGAGAACAATCAACAAAGCTATCTCACCTAACACGGACAAAAACAGAAATTATGTAAGAAAAAGGGGAGAAAGGGAGGGGGCGGGGGACAGAACTGCAATTGCCCTGGAAACAGTGAATCTTATTTGCAATTGTTGGTTAAGCTGAATAGTTGCCAGTTAGGAGAGAGATCAGTCTGGACTGTACATCAGTCACTGAGCAGGCAACAGGACATAGAAAAAAAAAATCTAGTTGTGAAAGGACTCATAATTTTGGAGTTTGGCTGTGGAATACGTGTGGTGAGCATCTGCCCATGTTCTGCATTTGCACTTCCACCTAAATTAGTTCACTTCTGCACCATTTCTCATCAGAATCTCTCAGGTAACTCATCCAGGTCAGACAGACAGTGATTGCAAAGCGGTGTTCAAATGGAGGCCTGTCTGGCGTCGAAGCCAGGTTTTAGTTTATTACACTCTTTCCAGATATGAAACAACTGCAAATTTAAGATTACTAGGGTCCTAATTTTAAATAAACTTGACACCTAAATCACATGGTATTTTATCTAAAATTGCATAATGTTTTATTTTGACGCATTTTATTCCTTGTACCTTCCATGCTTTAAAGAAAGCCAACTTCACGTACTCAAATGTGTGCTAGATTCAAATGAAATAGACTGGTAAAGTGTTTCTAACTTTGATTTTACAACCTTTGCCTGGAACAAAGATCAAGTGAAAAGAGCTTAAGCGATGGTGGAATTTCCCAGCCCATAAACCAGGCTAGTCATCTGGAAAATGAAGTTTCTTTAATGATGACAGTGTGTGACAAATTCAATGGTTTTTCTTGCAGTTTTTCAACCCAGACTGCATATTACAAGCCTCCTACGAAGCTTTTAAAACACCAGACCCAATAGCGACAGAGAATGAACACTGCGACTTAAACAAAGAAAAACAGACAAAAATCAGTAAAAACATAAAAGCTTGGTTTAGGATCTTCAGTTAGCAAATCAATCTCATAGGTAACAAGTATAAAATAAATCAACCTCATAGGTAACGAGAATAAAATGTATCATCTAGTCCAATGTGTCCATTTATTTTGGTTTTGTACTACACCTTAGGTCTTTTCAAATTAGAACACAAAGCAACCCCCAGCCCCAACCCGCTAAATTTAACGTGTATGAACACAGCTCTTTTCGTGAGAATATGGGTGGCTCTTAAAAGAGCCTTTGGAATTAGATGTAAAAATGCTTACTTGACAAATTTACTTGGAGCTGGTGTACTTGGTGACGGCCTTGGTGCCCTCGGACACGGCGTGCTTGGCCAGCTCCCCGGGCAGCAGCAGGCGCACGGCCGTCTGGATCTCCCTGGACGTGATGGTCGAGCGCTTGTTGTAATGCGCCAGCCGCGACGCCTCCCCCGCGATGCGCTCGAAGATGTCGTTCACGAAGGAGTTCATGATGCCCATGGCCTTGGACGAGATGCCGGTGTCGGGGTGGACCTTGTTTAGAGCGTGGTGCTGATAACACCAAGGTCCAGAGTTCAACCCCTCTACCGGCTAGCAACCGAAAAAGGAAAATAAATTTGGTACAAAATGTAAGTGTCCTTGGAATGAAAGGAGTACAACTCATTTATTGAAAGCATGCGTGGCTCTTAAAAGAGCCTTTGGGATTAGGTGTAAAGACGCTTACTTGACAAATTTACTTGGAGCTGGTGTACTTGGTGACGGCCTTGGTGCCCTCGGACACGGCGTGCTTGGCCAGCTCCCCGGGCAGCAGCAGGCGCACGGCCGTCTGGATCTCCCTGGACGTGATGGTCGAGCGCTTGTTGTAATGCGCCAGCCGCGACGCCTCCCCCGCGATGCGCTCGAAGATGTCGTTCACGAAGGAGTTCATGATGCCCATGGCCTTGGACGAGATGCCGGTGTCGGGGTGGACCTGCTTCAGCACCTTGTACACGTACACGGAGTAGCTCTCCTTGCGGCTGCGCTTGCGCTTCTTGCCGTCCTTCTTCTGCGCCTTGGTCACCGCCTTCTTGGAGCCTTTCTTCGGAGCCGGAGCGGATTTCGCTGGTTCAGGCATTTTAAAATCTCAGAAGTCCAGAAATGCGATGAGACTAGGAAGCGGATTTCTACTACTTATAGGGCTTTTATGCTAATGAGGGATGCAGAGCGAGTCTTAGTTAATTGGAAGACAAATAGCAGGGCTGTCACCCATGGGCAGAACTATGTAAATGAGGTATGGAAATACAGCTTTTCTATTGGCTACTTAACATACTCTTGCTATTAGCCAATCAGAGAGACGGATTCACTCCCCAGGAAATGCCTATAAAAGCAGCCGTGTTTTACATACCTTTCGACTTTATTCCTTTGGAGAGAGACTAGTTTTTCTGTTATTTGGCCATGTCCGGGCGAGGCAAGCAAGGAGGCAAAGCTCGCGCTAAAGCGAAGTCTCGTTCTTCTCGCGCGGGCTTACAGTTCCCCGTGGGCCGTGTGCACCGCCTGCTCCGCAAGGGCAACTACGCCGAGCGGGTCGGAGCCGGCGCGCCCGTGTACCTGGCGGCGGTGCTGGAGTATCTGACCGCCGAGATCCTGGAGCTGGCGGGCAACGCGGCCCGCGACAACAAGAAGACGCGCATCATCCCGCGCCACCTGCAGCTGGCCATCCGCAACGACGAGGAGCTCAACAAGCTGCTGGGTCGCGTGACTATCG